GTGGCACGTCGGCCCGTTGGCGACGTAGCGCGCCGTGAAGGCGAAGTCGACGGCGTCGTCCGCGGGGTCGTCCGTCGTCTTGACTCGCAAATAGACGCGATCGCGCGACGCGAAGGTCCAGGCCCGCGGCGCCGCCGTCGCGCCGTCCCACTGCGCGACGATCGTGTTCCCCTCGCTGATGCGCACGTAGTCGCCGGTCTGGAGGACCATGGCCTCGATGACGATGATCACGTCGCAGTCGCCGCCGCAGTTCTCGGGGTCGATGCGCCACTCGTACGTGAGGTCCCGCGGCGCGGCCCCGGACGACGTCGCGGGCCCGAAGATCAACGCGCTGCTCATGAGCATGTCGACGACGACCGTGCCCGTGAGGTCGTCCGTGTGCGCGACGTAGGTGAAGGAGAAGCCCGCGGGCTGCCCCGCGGGCGCTCGGAACGTGACCAACGCGGCCCCTAAATCCATGTAGAAGGGCGGCGGCAGGACGTCCTCGCAGCGCAGGCAGCTCCAGCGCAGCCGGTCCGTGCGCGCGTCGGCGCCCTCGTAGACCATGAGCTCCGCCGTGTTGACGTTCAGCGTCTGGAAGACGAGCAGCACCGTCTGCACCGGGCTCGCGGACGCGGGCTGCACGCGGAAGGTGCACTCGTCGCCGGCCTCGAGCGGCGAGCTCATGTAGTCGGACCCGACGATCGCGCCGGACAGCGCCGTCACCGTCGCGCTGTTGCACTCCCCGACGGCGCGCCGGGGCGCCAGCAGCAGCCACCAGGCCAGCAGGAGCATGGCATGCGTGGGCGGCCGGGTTTTTGTCATGGGGCCGCGGCGCGCCGGCGCGCGCGTCGGGTTGCGGGCATCGCTACGGCCGGACGCCTAGGACTCGCGCGACGAGCCTCCTTCGGGCCGCTGCATCGGGCTGCCGGGCGCCGCGGCGCGATGGGCACTTGAAGTCGCGGTGCCGTTCAATTGACGCGATTTGATTACTGCGATGGCTTGATCGGAAGCCTAAAAGAAGAGATGGCTGCCCGGCGCGATCGTCGGCAGACCTTCCGCATCGAGAGCCAAAGAGATGCCACGAGAGCAGCCATTTCCTACGGGTCGGGCGTGCGGCTGAAGCAAACGCAAGCGCTGCCCGAAGACGACGGATCGTGCTCGAGCATCCTCGTCTTCCACGAGCGGCTCCGTTCGGATGCCTGCGACGGCGTCCTGTGCCTCGCGTTCGCGCGCGCTTCTGGCGGAGGCGTGCCCGACCCCGACTCGGAGCGCGTGACCGTCCGCGACGTCCGCGCCGCCGTGGCCGAGGCCGCGGGGCTGCCCCTGAGCGTCGTCGCGCTCGAGCGGGCCGGCGCGCTGGTGCCGGACGAGCGAATCGTTGAGTACACCATCGGACCGCAGCGCGACGCATCCACGGGCGAGTACTTGGATGATGCGCGTCCTCAAGCAATCGTCCGCGTCTTCTGCCAGGAGCGGTTCCTGCTGCGGATCGTCCCCCCGCGGCCGCGCCGCGCGGCGGCCTGGCTCCGCGACCGCGGCCGCCCGGCCTTGCTCGCGACGCCGGCCCTCGAGCTCGTCGCGTCGTTTTGCTCCGCGCGGGTCCTGCCGTCGCTCTGCGCTTCCGGGAAGACGGTCCTCGCGACCTTGCTGGCGTCGCCGATCGCGTGGCGGGGCGCCTGCGCCGAGCTGCGCCTCGCGACGACGCGCCTCAGCCCCGCGCGCTTGGCAAGTGTCGCCGCGGTCTTATTCCACGATCCCCGGGAAGCGACGGCGCGCGAAGGATCCAAGGACGACGAGTCCGACGGAGACGACTCCGGCTCCAAGGACGACGAGTCCGACGGAGACGACTCCGGCTCCAAGGACGACGAGTCCGACGGAGACGACTCCGGCTCGACGTCGTTGTCGTCGTCGGGCGACTCGCGGCCGGCTGACGGCGCGCCGCCGCTCATCTTCGACAGCGCCGTCGCCATGGCGTCGACGGCGCACTACCTTCGCGAATACCTCGACGCGCTAGATGACGCGCCGCCGGCCGCGGTCGCCTACGTGAACGCGGTCGAGGCGGCGCTCCTCGGAGAGCGCGTCGCCAGTCCGATTTCCTACGATGCTATCGAGGTGCGCCAAGCCGAGGCCCACACGGAAGACCGCATCGTTCACACGAAGCTCCGCATCGTTGTCTCGATCTCCGAGCCGGCCACGCGCGCGCCTGTGCCGGAAAGAACCAGCGAGGTCGACCTGTCCAGCCAGACGTCAAAGCTTTGCGGCGTCGCCGGCTCGGTGTCGTTTGAATTTGTGGCGGACTGTTTCTTCCAAAGTCACTTGGAGGTGTCTGGCGAGCTCAGGACGACCACGCAACAGCCCGAGCTGCAGGCGTGCTCCATCTCGAGCGCCACCTGCGACGGGGAGCACGTGGTCAGCAAGGTAAGGCCCTTCTCGGGGCGTGTCGACAATCTCTGCGCACGGCTGTTTGGCGAGATGCCGGGCGGCACGTATCGTGACCGCCCTGAAGGCCGAAGGGTCGGCATCTTCTCCGAGTTGCTCTTCCGATCCGTCTGCGGTCCGCTACTGCACCTCGAGCCCCAGGAAGACTTCCTCCGGCACCTCCGCGAGACGTTCCCAGATGACGACTCGCCCATCGATCTCATAGGCTTCCATCTCGATCCGGAACTAGACGGCCGCGCGGGCCTCCCGCCAGAGCCAGAGCCTCCCGACTTCCGCCGCGCGGGCCTGTCGCCGACGTGGTGGGCCGAGACTCGCTACGCGGACGTCGACGCCGCCGGCGCGCCGATCGCTCGACGGTTCCCGCCGGGGAGCCTCTGGCGCCGCGTCGAGCCCGGACGAGCAGAGGCGTTCAAACAAAAGCACGGCATGACGGACGAGGACTTCGCGGAACTCGAGGCGTTCATCAGGACGCCGGCCTCCGTCTCCGTGATGGGCCACACCGCGACGCGGACCTTCGACGACCCGCCGCGACTCTACGCGCGCGTCGTCGACGCGGCCGCCGGCTCGCCGTGCACGCTCCACGCGTCGCGCTGCCCGCCGGAGGAGCGCGTGCCCGTCGTCTTCTGCCCGGGGCCCTACGGCGGCGCGCGCCGCGCGTACCCGTACGGGTTCCGCGTCGACGATCCGGAAGAAGCGCGGGCGGCGGCGAACTTCCGAGAGCTCTACGGCCAAGGCCCCGCGCTCGCCGCGGCCGGCGAGCTCCGGACTCCCGCCTAAAGAACTGGTCGCTACATCCTCGTCTCACGGCACTGTGAAACACCGGATTTTTTCAGGAGCTGCGCGCGCGGGGAAGATGACCGAGTTTGAAGGGGCACCCCAGTTCGGGAAGTACGGGCTCGCGCCGAACTTAAAGGATCGCCAATAAAGGGGCGCCGACGACGACGGGAAACATGCGAAGTTGAGGTTTCATGTTCCGGAACCATGTTCCGCTAAATTTCGAGGGCAGGCGTCGCCGGAACAGCGTCTGGGGGCTGCACCGGTACGCCGGAACGGCCGGAACGCGCCGGGAGTCGCGCGCTCCGGAACACAGCCTTCTGCCGGCTTCGTGCTGTCGGATCCGATCTCTGCGGCTGCGGTGTGCGCGTCCCGATTCGATTTTGGCAGTCCCCGTATATATTGCCGTTTCAGTTTGACACATCGAACGATATTGACCTCCCCTGTGCTGTTTTCTGTCCGGTGTAGGTTCGAATACCCACGCGCGCGTCGTCGTCGTCGTCGTCGTCGTCGTCGTCGTCGGCGGCGGCGGCGGCGGCGGCGGCGGCGGCGGCGGCGGCGGCGGCGGCGGCGGCGACGATGCTGCTACTACTCTAGATAAATTTGGCGCACCTGTTGTGCACTGACGACGACCTGTGCCTCGCCTCAGGGTAATTTGGTTTTTGTGCCCTAGGTAGGGCGCCGTGCGTAATTTGCCTGGCCTGATGCCCAGCCCCCAGGGGCCTGACGCCCAGGTCTGAAGTCCCTGTCTCATGACGCGCACTAAGCGTGCCGTGAACGGGCAGTTGAGAAGACAAATCCGACCGGAAATCTACCGGAACACCGGAACACGCCGGAACACGCCGGAACACGACCGGAGGACGCGAACCGGAACACGCGACCGAGGGGCCCGGGAGAGCCGGAAGCCGGAACATCCGCGAGACCTCTACCGGAACATCAGGGCCGGAACATCAGCGCATTCGGTGTTTCACAATGTCTCACGGTGAAGCCGAGTTGCTGCATGCGCGAGGTGGGGCACAGATTCAGTCGGCTCGAGCATCTCCGCGTCCGCCGTCGTGACGCCGTCGAGGCTGCAGTGAGCAATGGATCTAGAGACCATCTTACGAGTCGGTGCCTGCGGCACCTTCATCGGCCACGGCGCGCGACCGCGTCTCTTCGCGCGCGCAGAGAGCAAAAAAATGTCATATCTGCAGGCTGGATCGCCGCGTGGAAGCTCGAGTTCGGCCCCTGGAGCAAGTTCATGTACGCCGCGGGCTTCCGCGAGAAGGAGGCGCAGGTCGTCATGCCCATCATCGGCTGGATGGACGTGATCCTCGCCGTCGTGACGCTCGTGCGGCCCAACGAGCTCTTCTGCGCCTGGATGACCGTCTGGGCGTTCTCGACGGCGCTCGTGCGGCCCTTCTCGGCCGGCGCGGCGCGCTGGACGAAGCCCATGTCGGACAACGCCCTCTGGGGCTTCGTCGAGCGCGCGGGCAACTGGGCCTGCCCGCTCGCGCTGCTGTCCGTCATGGTCGCGCCGGGCTACGCGCCCAAGGACGTCCTCGGCGTCGCGCCGCTCTTCGACGCGCTCGCGCCCCTCGACGCGACGCTCTCGGGCTTCGCGCAGAGCGAGCTCGCGATCTTCATGGCCGCGACCTTCGCGGTCCCCTGGTTCGTCGTCGTGCCGCTGCTGCTCAGCCGCGGGCCCGAGAAGAAGAAGAAGTAGGTAGGGCGCGTCGCGATCGTCGCCTCGGCCGAAGTCTCGCCGCTGACTGGGTTATGTGTCTAGAGTTGACTGCCAGCCTCGATTAGGAACCCCTCCCCTCTCACGCCGCGCCCTCGACGACGGGCAGGTCGCCGTCGGCCTCGTACTCGCACCACGCGCCGTCGTAGATGGGCGCGTCGTTGCCCTCGAGGCGGTGGAGCGCGAGGGCGACGACGGCGGCCGTGAGGCCCGAGCCGCAGGAGAGCGCGCAGGGCGATTTCGGGTCGACGCCGGCCGCCGCGAAGGCCTCCGCGACGCCGCGGTCGTCCTTGAGCGTCGCCCCGCGGAAGGGCCCGCCGGGCCCGCCGTCGGCGCGCGACGGGTTGGGCTCGAGGAAGTCGAGGAAGGGCGCGTTCACAGCGCCCGGCGCGTGGCCCGACCGGCAGCCCGGCCGCGGCTCCGGCGCCGAGCCCTCGAAGCGGCCCGCGGGCCGCGCGTCGACGAACTGGGGCCGTTTCGCCGCGTCCGCGTTGAGCCATGTCCGCACGTCGCCGAGGCGCCACTGGGCGCCGGCGACGAGCGCGTAGGGGGGGGGCGCGGCGCCGGCGGCGGGCGCTGCCGTCGGCGCGCCGGCCTCGAGCGCGCCGCCGGCCTCGACCCAGGCCGGGAGCCCCCCGTCGAGCACGGCGACGTCCGCGAAGCCGTAGGCGCGCAGCGTGTGCCAGAGCCGCGGCGACGAGAACGTGCCCACCTGGTCGTAGCAGACGACGCGTTGCGACGCGCTGCCGATGCCGCACGCGGCCGCGGCCGCGGCGAACTGGGCCGCGTCGGGCAGGTTGTGCGGCGTGTCCGGCGCCGTGGTCGCGTCGCTGTGCTCGTCGAGGTCCCAGAAGGCCGCGCCGGGCACGCGCGGGCCGGCCTCGAAGGCCTCGCGGCCGCTCGCGTAGGGCGCCGGCGCGGCGAAGGGCGAGTTCGGCAGGAACCAGGTCGCGTCGACCACGCGCACGTCCTTTCGGGAGACGAGCTGCTCCGCGAGGGACGCGACGCTGATGAGGCCGCGCCGCATCGGTGGGTGGCGACGGCGCGCGAGGCGGCTTGTGGAGATTGCAAGGCAGCAGATCGATCAAGTCGTCGAGGCCAATGAGGCCGGCTCGGTGCACCCTCCGTGCCGCTCAACCCGCGGGCAGCTTTTTATCAGTTGTTTGTTGGGTGTCACCGGCCAGCCCGCCGAAGCTCGCCTCCCGCGGCAGCCCCCCCCGACGCCGCCGGCGCCCGCGGCAGCCCCCCCTCCGGCCGCCCCCGACGCCCGGCCATGGGCCTCAAGGACTTCGAGATCCTCCACCGCCTGGGCAAGGGCTCCTTCGGCACGGTCTACAAGTGCCGCCGCGTCTCCGACGGCGAGATCTACGCCATGAAGCGCGTCAACATCAGCCACATGAAGGACGCGGAGATCGGCGACGCGCTCACGGAGATCCGCGTGCTCGCGTCCGTGCGCCACCGCAACGTCGTGCCGTTTTTGGAGTCGTTCGTCGAGAAGGGCCGCGAGCTCGTGCTCGTGCTCGACTTCTGCGACGGCGGCGACCTCGCGGCCGTCGTCGAGCAGGCGCGCAAGGCCCGGCGCCTCCTGGGCGAGGCGAAGATCTGGCACTACGCCGTCCAGCTCGTCGACGGGTTGCGGTACCCGCCAGGGCGGCAAAAGAGAGCGACATGCCCAACTTCAAAGGCTCCTCTCTCGGCCGTTTTCCACTCGTTTTGGCTGATTTTTGGACGAGCGATCATCTCTCGGAACGCTCTCGAAGCGCGGATGCTTTTTCCGGAACGCGCGCGCGCGGCACACTCACGTTGAAGCGACGTTGAAATCGCCCTTGTCCCGCCAGGTACCTCCACGGGCGGTCGATCGTGCACCGCGACGTCAAGCCCGCGAACGCGTTCCTCACGGCGAAAGGCGAGGTCCGCATCGGCGACCTCAACGTGTCCAAAATCGTCAAGGACGACAAGGGCGGCCTCATGAAGACGCAGATCGCTGTGCCGAAACCAACCACTGGTTTGGGTGGTCCTGACCAAACTTGAGAATTCTCTAGCTCGGTCAAATCGAAGTCGATTCGGCTGATTTTTGGACGGATCGATCGCTCTCGTCGAGTTGTCGAAGCCCAGCCGAAGAAATTGTGTCAAAACATTCGAATACGCTCACATTGAAGTCGGGTTGAAGATTTGGTTTCGGCACAGGCAGATCGGCACGCCCTACTACATGGCGCCGGAGATCTGGGCCGACCGGCCCTACTCGCGCGCGGCGGACGTCTGGGCGCTGGGCTGCACGGTCTACGAGCTCTGCTGCCTGCGGCCGCCCTTCCACGCGCGGTCCGTCGCCGCGCTCGGCAAGGCCGTGCGGTCCGGCCGCCGCGACGCGATCCCGCGGACCTACTCGAGGGAGCTCCGCGACTTCGTCGACGGCATGCTCCAGGTCAACGCGTCGAAGCGGCCGTCGATCGACGCGCTCGCGGCGTCCGAGGTGTTGTGCTCGAAGCGCGGCCGCGACGGCGACGTCGCGCCCGAGGACGACGCGGACCGCATCGAGCTCCTCAAGACCATCAAGGTCCCGCGTTCGAAGCACCAGCTCACGCACGCGCTCCCGAAGCCGTGCTACCCCGACTCGCGGCCGAACTCGCCCGCGGCCTGGCCCGCGACGAACCGCGCGCGGAAGACGGAGCTGCTCCAGCGGCGCGAGAGCTCGCGCCACTCTTTTGCCGAAAATCCGTCGCCGGCGTCGACGGAGGGCTCGTCGGCGCTCGACGCGGCCATCGCGCGCGTCGACGAGCTTTTGGGCCGCAAGGCCGCGCCGCTGTCGCCGTCGCGGAAGGTCGCCAAGGTCGCGCCCGTCGCCTTCGACGGGCGGCTCCGCGACCGCAAGGCGCTGCCCCTCCAGCCCGGGTCGCCGACGAGCCCGCTGCCCATCAACGGCGGCAAGATCTCGTCGCTCGTCCGCGGCGCCATGCGCGACGTCGACGACGAGCGCCTCATGCGCGCCGTCGAGTCGCGGTCGCGCCGCGCGGCGCCCGCGAGCCCCCGGGGAGGCGACAGGCCCAAGGAGAACAAGACGCCCCCGCGCGACGGCAAGCGGGGCCCCGGCTTCCGCCGCAACCAGGCGGACCCGGGGCCCTACCCGCGGCCGCGCGCCGCGGGCGTGCCCCGCGTCGCCTACCTCGCCGGCCGCGACCACGCGCCCGCCGCGAAGATCCAGGCCGCGCTCCGCGGCTCGCGGACGCGGCGCCAGCTCGCGCGCCAGCCGAAGCCCAACTGGGAGCCGCGGCCCGCGGCGGGCGCGCGGCGGCCGGGCCAGGCCGGCTGGTGGGGCTAGGCGCGCTAACGCATCGACGCCGCGCGGCAGAGTAGGAGCTCCGTCGACCCGAGGCGCCGCGCGGCTCCTAGTCGTCCTCGTCCGCCGCGGCGTCCTCGCCGTCCGACGCGCGCGCGGCAGAGTAGGAGCTCCCCCCGCGACGAGGCGGCTCCACGCGCTCCGCGTCGACCGCCTCGACGCGCGCGCGGACGCCCAGGCGGCGGCGGAGTAGAACGCATAGCTCATGTCCGTCACCGACGACGTGTCCCAGGCGCCGATGGCCTCGTTGAATGTGTCGTCCGTGAGCACGCAATCTTCATAGTTGTCGGCGTAATACTCATCTTCCATCCAGTCCTGCCGCACGCAGAACAGGAACGACATGGCCGTCACCTTGGACGTGTCCCACCTGCTGATGGGGCCGTACTGGGCCTTGGCGTTGTCGGAGTCCTCGTCCCAAGCGCCGACTGCGGCCTTGAGCTCGTCGTTGTTCGCGAAGGAGAACCCGCAGTGGGGAGGCTCGTTGAAGTCCTCGTGCCAGGGCAGGCATTGGTCGAAGGCGGTGGCGCCGGAGAAGATGTCCGTCTTCGCCGTCGTGGGCGACACGTCCCAGCGGCGTGTGCTGCGTCGCCTCGTAGGCGCCGGCCATCTCGCGGAACGTCACGGCGAGGACGCCCGTCTCCTCGGAGTGCGCGTCGCCCGGCGGCGCCCGCTGGGCCGACCGCAAGGTGGGCATGGTGCTGCTGCGCATGCGGCTGGGTGTGTCGCTCATGAGGCTGCTGCGCATGGGTCGCGCTGCCGAGTCCCCTTCCCCGACTGCCCGTAGCCCGAAGGTGGGTCTTATGTCAGCTGGGGGGCCCGGCACGCGCGCCACTAGCGCAGCGCCGTCGGCGTCGTCGTCGGCGACGCCGTCGTCGTCCGTGTCGCCGTCGTGCTCTGTGGGCTCGTCGGCGCGCTTGGCCACGCTGCCGGCGCGCGTCCGCACCATGACGCGGCGCGACTAGCGCGCGGCGCTAGCGTCCGGCCCCCGGCGCGGGCAGCGATCGAGCGCTCGAGACGCTCGACGGCCCCGCCGCGCGACGCTACGGACCGCTGCGCGGGTGTCCTCTTGCAGCGGCGCGTCGCACGTCGGCGTCGAGCGCCGCCTCTGGAAGGGCAGCCGCTGGAACTCGCTGCACGTCGCCGACGTCACGCCGCTCGCCGCGAGACTCGCGGAGCGCCCTCGACAACCCCTTCGAAGGGCGCTGCAACGCTGCAGGACACGGCGCAGACACGGGAACCCACCCGGCGCTCACACGCACCAGGTAGCCACCATAGTCCACCGGCCGCTAGCAGTAAGCTTGAGCGTCCTCGGCACGCAACGCATTCTGGCCGCGCCTAACCCGCCGACGCGCCTACCTTGGGCGGGCGCGGGCATTGGGGGGCCCACTAAAGCCGCACCGGCCCCCATATAATCGACCTCTAGAGGCTCACGCGGTTGTCGCCGCCGCCGTCCGTCGCCGTCGACGTCGAGGACTCGGGGCTGAAGGCGGCGTCGACGAGGAGGGGCTCCTCGAGGGAGGTGGCCCGCGCCGCCGGCCGGTCCGACGCGACGAAGGCCAGGAGGCAGGGCGCGAGGACCGCGAAGAGGCCCGCGAAGGTCGCGGACGCGGAGAAGAAGCCGCTCCGGCACTTGGACCGCCGCGCGAGGTCGCAGCCGGGCTCGGCCCACTGGCGGCCGGCGTCGACGAGCCAGCCGCCGAGGAGCGGCCCCGCGACCTGCCCCGCGGCGCCCGCGGCCTGGAAGACCGCCGCGAGCGCGTCGTCCGCGGCCGCGCCGAGCGGGCGCCCGCCGCCGAGCGCGCGCTTCGCGAGGGGCAGCGGGCACTGGTAGACGAGCGCGACGGCGACGCCGCAGCCGAGGCTCCAGGCGCCGAGGCACGCGTAGTCGTAGGCCCGCGCCGCGGCGTCGGGCGCGCGCGCCGCGGCGGCCAGCGGCACCGGGCCCCAGACCAGGGACGCGAGGGCCCAGGCCGCGCAGCCGGCGACGAGCGGGTCCCGCGCGCCGAAGCGGCGGACGACGCCGCCGGCGAAGGGCGAGATGGCCGCGTAGATCGCCGACGGCGCGAGGTAGACCTGGGCGGGAAAAGAGTGCGAACTTCCCGACTTCGAGGCTCCTCTCTCGGTCGTTTCCCACTCGTTTCGGCTCATGTTTCGACGGGCGATCATCGCTCGGAGCGCCCTCGACGCGTGGATGCTATTTCCGGAACGCGCGCGCGCGGAACACTCATATCGAAGCGAACTTGAAGCACTCCTTTCCCGCCCCGAGGGAGACGAGGCCCGTCTCGAGCGCGCCGAAGCCCAGCGTCGCCCGCGCATGGGGCGCGAGGGCCGCGTCGTAGAAGGACAGCGACGCGTTCGAGAGGCCGAAGCAGGCCGCGGCCCAGCCCACGGCCGCGCGCCCCGACGACGGCGTCGGCCCCCCGGACGCCGCGGCGGCTTCCGCGGTGTCCGCGGCGTCCGCGGCGGCGGCGTCCGCGAGGAGCCGCGGCGCGACGAGCAGCACGGCCGCGTGCGCCGCGGCGAGCACGAAGAAGACGTTCGCGAAGCCGCAGAACTCGTAGAGCAACCCGCCGAGGAACGGCGCGACCATGTAGGAGCCGCCGGCGACGGCCTCGAGGACGCCCGTGTCCTCGGCGACGTCGCGCGAGTGCGTGAGCAGGAGGCCCATGGCGGGCACGTCGACGAGCGCGCACGCGGCGCCCTGGAGGCTCCGCCAGCCGATCCACGCCGGGACGGTCGACGACCGCGCGAAGCCCGCGAGGCCGACGATCGTGAGGACGAGACCGAGGTAGATGGCGCGGCACCGCGACCGCAGGAGCTTCGAGAGCGCGGGGACGGCCGGGGACGCGACCGCCGTCGCCAGCGGGAAGACCGCGAAGACGCAGCCGACGGCGAGCGCCGAGCCGCCGCGCGCCTTCGCGGCGACGCGCGGGAAGAAAGGCATGAGGCCCGCGGCGACGGTGCACTCCATGGCCCAGAGCACGCAGGACGCGGCGAGCACGCTCCGGTTCGCGGCGCTGCGCTTCGCAGGGGCGGGCTCGGCCTGGAGGTCGCCATGCAGAGGGCTGTCCATGAGAGTCTCCTCCGCGGAGCTGTCCGTGACCCTTGCTTTTGTGGCTCCGCAGCAGCACCGTCGACCTTGCCGCAGTCAAACGGCGATGTTGGCGGCGTCGCACGTCGCTACCGGTCCTACGTCACGGCGCGACGGGCCAGCATGCCATCGTCGAGGGGCAGCATCGTCGACCCTTCTCAGATTCCAAGTTGCAAAGGTGCAGCCTCGGTGAAGCACTCGAGGTGTGGTGAGAGTGGCCTGAGCGTGCGGTCGCGGCGAGACGCGCAGCAGCGCCCGCGCGTGGTGTGGTGAGAGTGGCCTGAGTGTGCTTCGGTCGCGGCGAGACGCGCAGCAGCGCCCGCGCGTGCGCCGCCGCCGACCCCACCGCGTCCCGCGGCGCCATGTCGTTCCGCGGCCAGGGCCTCTACGGCAATGCGACCATGGAGCCCGTGGAGTTCTGCGGCGGCGCGAAGCCGCCGGCGTCGTCGAAGCCCAGCGGGTCGTCCAAGGGGGGCAAATCCTCGAAACCCGGCTGGCAGGAGGCCCAGGAGCAGTTCGAGAAGATGATCAACGGCGCCGACGACGACCGGCCCTTCGTGCCCAAGGACGAGGGCCCCAAGGTCCCCGACAAGGTCGACTACGAGGTCCGCGGCGCGAAGATGGACGACGCGCGCAAGGAGCACGACGAGCTCCGCGATTCGCGGAAGAAGCTCGCCGACGACGCCCTGCGCGCGAAGCGCTACGGCGACGCCGCGGAGCTCTACGACTTCGCGCTCGACGTCGCGCCGAACGACTCCGTGCTGCTGAGCAACAAGTCCGCCGCGCTCCTGCTCCACGGCGATGCGGCGGGCGCGCTCGCGGCCGCGGACGCGTCGATCGCCGCGAACCGGAAGTGGGCCAAGGCCCGGGGCCGGCGCGTCGCGGCGCTGCACGCGCTCAAGCGCTACGACGAGGCCGTGACTTCGGCGGAGCAGGCGCTCTTCGACTTCCCGACGGACGAGGGCGGCGCGATCGCCGCGGCCCGGGACCGCGCCGCGGCCGCGCGGGCGACGGACCCGGACGCCGTCGCCGGCCCGGCGCCGGAGAAGGTCAAGAAGAAGAAGAAGAAGAAGGTGTCCGATAAGTGCAACGTGCTCCTCACGTACAACGAGCCCAAGAACGCCGCGCGCCGGTCGACGTTGAAGCTCGGCCTCAAGCGGAGCTGGCTGGCCAAGGACGTCGGCGCCCTCGTGAAGACCTTCGTGGACCACTACAACGGCGGCCGGCCCTTCGACGAGCATTTGGCGGTCGCGGAGCTCCGCGTCGAGGGCGCGGGCGGCGACCACGTGCCGACGTCCATGGCCCTCGAGGACGTCGTCTCCGAGGGCACGGAGCTCTTCGTCAAGCGCTGGAAGGCCGCGGACCCGGCCGCGGACCCCGACGCCTACGCGGCGAAGCCGGCCGCGCCGAAGCCGAAGCCGCGCGCGGCGAAGCCGGCGCCGAAGCCGCGCGAGGCGCGGCCGGCGGAGGACGACGCCGTGACCTACGCCCGCGACGCGGAGGACCTGCGCGCCGCCGGCGCGGCGCTCGCCGCCGACGGCAACGACTTCGCGGCCGCGGAGAAGTACGAGGCCGCCGCGGGGAAAGAGCCGTCGCCGGCGGGCAAGGCCGCGCTCCTCGCGGCCGCGTCGTCGTGCCTCGCGCGCCTCGGCCGGGGGTCGCGCGCCGTCGACGCCGCGGTCTACGGCCTCAAGCTCTGCCCGTCGTCCTTCGTCTGCAGAGTCGCGGACAGGGCAGCAAAAGAGAGCGACATTCCCCAACTTCAAAGGCTCCGATCTCGGCCGTTTTCCACTCGTTTCGGCTGATTTTTGGACGAGCGATCATCCCTCGGAGCGGTCTCGAAGCGTGGATGCTTTTCCCGGAACGCGCGCGCGCGGAACACTCACGTTGAAGCGACGTTGAATCACGCTTGTGCTGCCCAGGTCGCGGAGGCGGACGCGTTCCTCGCCGTCGGCGACTTCGAGGCGGCCCTGAAAAAGTTCGAGCAACTGAAGGCGCGGCTGCCCGAGGACCACGCGGCGACCA